TTTAGCTACTTAACATGGTTTAAATGTCTTCTATTTTATTTCACACATTGAAATTAGCTCATAGAAACAAAAGTAGCCCTGAAGGCTATTGGAAGAAGGTTAAAATTCAAAGTGTTTTAGCTAACAAATAAGAAAAGAGATGGCTGTTAACATGGCCTTTTTATATTATAAAAATAGTAGAATTTTAAAAAAGTAGTTAGATTGGGAAGGAACATGATTATAGGATATAAATGTATTAACCCAAGTTGGCATTTAGAGAAGATTTTCTACAAAGCTAAGATCTGAAGTACTAAAGCCATGGTTGTACTAATGCAACAAATCGAAGTAAATTAAACCTCACACCATATTCTGCAATGCTCCTCTTATGTACCAGTGTTGCTGTATATAATGACAGTTGATGACTTGGTTCACTAAGCATCTCAATTTAATTTTCAGTATCTTTGGAGCACCCAGAGAAGCATACCAGAATTAGGAAAGATTAGAAAACCTTTTTTTTTTGTACCATAAATTTTAGTATATAGGTATTACAAAACATTAAATATATACCTGGTTTTATGTAATTTTAAATGTGCAGAATTAATAAACTAGAGGATTTCTTCTTTCATATTATTTGAAGTATCTAATATAGGATATTTTAATGGAGAGCTCATTCCCATATGTACGTACGTATGAAGGTGTGTCTGTAATTTATCTCAGATTTACAGACCAAAGAAAAGTGAGTGAACCCAAGCTCTTTAAGGGCTTGAAGAGCCAAAAATTTTTCTTTGAGAGGGACCATCTAAGGTCAGAGAAAGAGAGAATGGGGAGAGTTATGCATTAGTGACAAAAAGAAAGGTTAATAAGACATAGGCTAGGATTTACATTACAATCATCTTTGCTGTAAATTCCAACTTTTGTTTATTTTAGAGAGAGAGAGAGAGAGACAGATAGACAGACAAATAGACCATGATGGGGGAGGGGAAGAGAGAGAGGGAATACAGAATCTGAAACAGCCTTAAGCCAGGACAGAGCCTAGCCCACGAATGCTGAGATCCTGACCTGAGCCAAAGTTGTATGCTCAACCGACTGAGCCACGCAGGTGCCCCAAACTAATGTTTTTGTGTTGCTTATAAAAATATGACAGATTTTGACTGAAAAAGAAAATGGGGAAACAGGAATTCTTTTACAGAATAACCTGAAAACTAATTTTTACTGATATTCCCTCAACAGATGGGGAACTTTTTCAAAAAACAAATGCACTCCCAACCTTTGGTGAGAGTCTTATGTTATCCTGAGTCACAGTCACTGAAGGAAGTTGGTTAGATCCTGTAGATAAGCTGGGTAAAAGAAAAAAAAGGTTTAGTTTTCTTTTTTTCCCCCACAGGATTACCAAGCCATCTTTACTCTCTGAAATAAAATGAATCATTGAAAAGTGTCACTTGACTTTAATTTAATCAATGTTAAATAACTATATTGGGGTATTTCAGAAGAATACATAGGTATAAATAAATGATTTATAAATGTGAATAACTTGCAGGTCGCAATTGAATTTATTTTGATGGAAGCACAATGTTCTTATACAATGTTCTTTTCACAGTTCTTTGGCATTTATTATAAAGAACAAAGCATTTCTGGAATGCTCATTTTAATTTCAAAGCTCAGGCTATTCTATGGAAAACATTTGGCTCATGGAGGATCTGAACAATAATAGAGGAATGTTCAGTGGGAAGCGTTATGAATTGTGGCACTTAAAATACATTCTGAAGGAACATTTAGACAATAATACTTATTCTTCATTTTACACAAAGATTTTAAACTAGGCAATTTGTCTTAATCTGGACAAATATCTTTTAATATTTTTAAAATTAAAAATTGTTTTAATTCTTGATATGTAAATTAGACTGATAGTAGTGAGATATTTGCCTTTTGGAGTATGTGAAAATCCATGTAATAAATGAGGCATATCATCATCTTTATTATCTATGCATGTTAAAAGCGTGTGGCCCTATTTGGCTGCTTGCAAAGCATATAGGAAGTGTTTTGTTAACTGACTTCATGACTTTTAGCACAAGGGACCCCCTTAGAGCAAGATGAAGGTAGCCCCAAAAGAATACCTCTGACAAGGATCCCATAACAGATATTCTGTATCCATGTGGGGAATGGACTAGAAAATGCACATCAAATATCAACCAATATTTGAGTGATGTTATGCATTTTGCAAGACATTTTACATATTTAACCTTCACACAGTCTTATAGGTAACATGACCTCATTTTCCAAGAGAGGAAACAGAGGCTTGCTACAAGGCATTGCACTCTGGGTTGTGAATGCGAGAATAAAGCAAATTAGAATAAAGCAATAGGTCTATTGGATGGAGACCATCCAAAATGGTCTACTGGATTGAAAGGGCAGACAAAAATTATTTTCATCTACATATTTCCCCATAGCTTGTAAGTTCTTTTTCAGTTCCCAGGTAAAAAACTGTGTCCAGATATACAAATAAACAAATGTGTCATGCTCCATAAGCAATAAACAAGCCAAACATTTAGGGCCTGCAGAGCAAGAAGGTTATGTATAGTCTGTTCTCAAAGATGTGGTGCATGATTGTTATAAGCCTTGGTTTTTTGATGATATGTGGGATTCTAGCTTTCCATAGGAGTTTCAGGTCTCTTATTTTATTTTATTTTACTTATTTAAAAAAGTTTTTTAATGTTTATTTATTTTTGAGAGTGAGAGAGACAGAACACAGGTGGGGGAGTGGCAGAGAGAATGGGGGACAGAATCTGAAGCAGGCTCCAGACTCTGAGTAAGCATAGAGCCTGATGCGGGTCTTGAACCCACAAACCATGAGATTATGACCTGAGCTGAAGTTGGATGCTTAACTGACTGAGCCATCCAGGTGGCCCCAGGCCTTCTATTTTAAATCCTGTAAAGAAGTGTTTTTTTCCTTCCTCTACAATGGGGATCTTCTAGCTTTGCTTATAAAAATGGTGACTGAATTTATTATTGGGATCCAAGGTTTAATTAAGAAATGGATGTTTTTTACAACATAATTTTGTATGAGGTTTTGTTTCCAAATACAGATGCTTCATTTCTATCTCTAACCACAATGAGATACCACCTCACACCTGTCAGAATGGCTAAAATTAACAATTCAGGAAATAACAGATGTTGGTGAGGATGCAGAGAAAGAGGATCTCTTTTGCACTGCTGGTGGGAATGCAAACTGGTGCAGCCACTCTGGAAAACAGTATGGAGGTTCCTCAAAAAATTAAAAATAGAACTACCCTACAACCTAGAAATTGCACCATTAGGTATTTGTCCAAAGGATACAAAAATGCTGATTAGAAGGGGCACATGCACCCCAATGTTTATAGCAGCACCATCAACAATAGCCATATTATGGAAAGAGCCTAAATATCTATTGACTGATGAATGGATAAAACAATGTGGTATATACACACAATGGAATATTACTTGGTGACCAAAAAGAATGAAATATTGCCATTTGCAGTAAGGTGTGTGGGACTAGAGCGTATTATGCTAAGCGAAATAAATCAGTCAGAGAAAGACAAATATATTATTTCACTCTGTGGACTTTAAGAAACAAAACAAATGAATATAGGGAAAGGGAAGGAAAAATAAGATAAAAACAGAGGGGGAGGCAAACCATAAGAGCTTCTTAAATACCAAGAATAAATTGAGGGTTACTGGAAGGGAAGTGGGTGGGGGAAAGGGGCAAATGGGTGATGGGCATTAAAGAGGGCACTTGTTGGAATGAACACTAGTTGTTATATGTAAGTGATGAATCATTAAATTCTACTCCTAAAACCAATGCTCCACTATATGTTAGCTAACTTGAATTTAATTAAAAAAATTAAAAAAATTTTTTTTAAATGTTTTATTTATTTCTAGGAGAGAGAGAGAGAGAGAAACAGCGTGAGCAGGGGAGGGTCAGAGAGAGAGGGAGTCACAGACTGAAACAGGCTCCAGGCTCTGAGCTGGCAGTCAGCACAGAGCCCGACGCGGGGCTCGAATCCACGAACCGCTAGATCATGACCTAAGCGAAAGTCGGACGCTTAACCGACTAAGCCACCGAGGAGCCCCGAATTTAATTAAAAAATTTTTAAAAAGCCCTTCTTTTCAACTGCCCTATTCATCAAGCCATTTATATAACAAATATTTATTGAACATCTACTTTGTGCATTGTTCTGGGTGTTGGAGAAAAAACACATTTTCTGCTTTCACGGAATTTACCTTTTAGTATTAGAAGCATGAAGTAAACATATAAACATAAAAAGTCAGACCCTGTAAGTGTTTTGAGGAAATATAAAGTGGGATGAAGGAACAGAGTGAGAGAGGGTGGGGAAGGGGTGGTCAAGAAAGGCCTCTTGATAGGTGACTTTGAATAAGACATGTTTGAGAGTTGAGTTAGAGAAGTTTAGGAGACAGGTAAGAGAGGTTACAAAGGGCCAATTACGTAATTATTTGGGTTTTGTTCCTCTGAGATAACCAGTGTTTCATATTTCAGAGTGGCTCTGTGCCCCCTCAACATTAATAATCTCTATACTCATCCTAAATAGACTAATGCTTTACTGACTTAATTATGATTATTTTACCTCCTTCTTAATGTAGGTTGCTGGCTACAAAGTGATATAAATAATTTTATATATAAATATTTATACATACACATATAATATATATACATATATATAATATATATTGCATTGTTTCCATAGTAAAAGTTGATAAGTTTCAACCTCTGTGACTCTTCTTTCTTCCTGCCCTTCCTCTCTCCCTTCCTATCTTTTTCCTTCTTTCCTTTTTATCTTTAGTAGAAAATTCCATAGCAGCTGATAATATTGCTCTTGGTGCCTTGAGTTGACTTATGAGGACATACCAATAGTACTGGAAATAAATCGTGTTACTATGAAATACTTCCTTTTGTTTTGGGCTGTGATGTCCCAGGACTGTGTTCTCAAAGCTTGTCTAATGAGTGGCTTATGTTTTTCCAATTTCAGGTTACTACACTTGTAAATTGTCCCCAGAATCCTTCCAACAGGAAAAAAGGACGTTCAAAGAGAGCCAAAGTCCTTTTAGCTTCTGTGGAGGAAGCAACCTGGAATTTATTAGACAAAGGAGAGAAGATTGCCCAGGAAGCCACAGTTTTAAAGGAAGAGCTTACTACTGCACTTGAGGAAGTTCGCAAAGAAAGTGAGTACTCTAGTCCTGGTCAGGAGCACACTGTATATCCTTAGGGTGTTAGTTACGGAATTAGATTTGTGAGCATTTTGCTGTGTTGACTTGGGTTTATTAGTCTTTTGCAGACCTCTGAAGAGCTGGCTGTGGGAGGCCAAGTGGCTTATTAGACAGCTCTAAGGTTCAGAGTATGACTCCTGGTTCTTCCGTTGAGTTGTTCAGTCCCTGCAGGCAACTTCTTCCCCTCACATGCCATAGTTTATCCATATAAGCAAAGAGAAGTGTATCCTTTTTTGTCATAGAATATAACGACATATGACTAATGAAGCTGAAGATGAGTTTGCCCATACATAAATAAATTATAAAGTTCCTTGTTAATAGTTGGAGGTATTAAATTATAGACCTGTCTACTCAGAAATACATTTTTTATTTTTTGATATTCTGGAGGTTTGGATTTTCTAAACTTAAAAAGAAATTCTTTGGATAAACTAGACATAACTCATGTTGCTGTTGTGTGAATATGATAAAATGAAAGTGTATATGTCACCTTTGGAGGTATTTACTTACATATAATAATACAACAATTTTCTAATGCCTGTGAGTCTCATTTGCAGACTCTTTTTAAAAGAACTGCCCTATTTATGTATCAGCTTGCTGCAAGAAACTACTTTGAGAGGATAAGAAAACTTAAATATTCCTGTTAAGCTTTGTTAAGGAGGCTTGGGTGTTCAGATATTTCCCTCCCCAACATAAATGTATGAAAATCAGAAAATGTTAGTTAATTAAATAATTAAAATGAATATACTAGCTATAATAAACCTCAGGTCAAATATAGATTTATTTTTTATTTGTTATATACTTTATATATGATTTATATTTTACAGAGCCTCTTCAGAAAACATAAAGAAAACATAATGCCAAGATAATTTCAAATGAATTCATCACTCCTCCCTACCCCCTACCACTTTAGACCCTGTCCTGTTCTTCTCTGATCTGTTACCATTATCCACATAGTCACCGAGTCAGTTTAGACTCTTCATTCTCATTTTGCTTTCTCTTCCAATTAGTCTCTAAGTTCAACAATTTCTGTTTCTTTTTGTCTCTCAGATTTTTCTCTCTTTTTCATTACTAATGTTCTCTCCTGAATTCAGGATTACAGCATTAGCCTTACCTTATACCAAAGCCAAATAAATCTTTTAAAGAGGAAAATATACTCATTTTACTTCCCTGCTTAATTGAAATACGTTTGAAGCTTCTGAAGGATTAGGGGTATTGTCTTTCTGGATAAAGTTCAAGCTTGTAAACCTAGCTTACTCAGCATTGCATGATTTGGCTTCCATCATTCTCTCCCTTTTCATGTCCTGATTCTGTCCCCCTCTCCAGCTTTCTTCCAAACAAGAATTTGAAGTGTTTTGAATGGTACATGTTGCCTCATTCCTCTGTACCTCTGTTATCAGCTATTCCTTTCACCTTGGTTACCCCTTTCATTCAGCCAATTCTTATTTATTGCAACAAAGCTCAACCCAGGTCTTTTTCAGGAAGTGTGTACTAAACTTGTGATGTTCATTTAGATATCCCTCTTCTATGTTCCCACAGACTCTGACATCTCTCTTTAATAGGATTTACTACCCCATGCACCAAATGTTACTTTACTTGTTCAGTAAATTTTGACTCTTAATTCGTGAAAGTGGCAAATACCACCTCTTATATTATGAGCAGTACCTGACACATAACCTGATGTTTGTTAAATAAATAAAAAATAATTTTATTTTTGCTTTTATGACAAATTATCTCTCATGCTTTTTTTTTTTTTTAAAGTTTATTTATTTTGAGAGAAAGAAAGAGAGAGCATGGGCATATGCACAGAAGCGAGCAGGAGAGAGGCAGAGAGGAATAGAGAGAATGAATCCCAAGCAAGCTTTGTGCAGAGCCTGATGCTGGGCTTGATTTCTCAACTGTGAGATCATGACCTGAATTGAAATCAAGAGTCAGACACCCTCTCTGACTGAGCTATCCAAGCATCCCTCATAGATATGATTTCTTTCCTGAGTGTTTTGGAGGAATATGAATGCTATTCTGGTATTGTTTTTCTCCGATAATGAGATCTATTTGACAATATAGTTTTCGTAAACCACCTCACAATAACTGCGTAAGACCTTGGTCATTCTCAGCAGGAAAGAATAAAAGCATTAATTGCCATGAAATGGTATATTTTTTTTAAAAAGTAAGTTACCAGTTTTTGGCTCAATAAAAGTAAATTACTTTAAAGAGAAAGTCTTAAAGAGAAGTATGTGTGGATTCTAGGATTATGCAGTATATCCTTCCCTGTGTTCTATTATAATGTGTGAAATCATATTATCATGTGATAGATATGGCATATGTGGTGTACACAACAAATGCATTTGGTTAAAGATCACCCAGTGCTTTATACTCCTTTTTTTTTTTTTTGACAAACTGCCAAATTGAACTGCTGCCACTTGAGTGTGGGAGGAAAGCAGTGAAATGGCAAATGGTTCTGGAATTTGGGGAAAAGCCAATGCTTATCCTATGGATAGCAGAGACAGTAACAGTGAGAGCACTGTTCCGAAAAATTTGGAAGGAATTTTAGCTCATTGGTGAAGTTGAAGTATCAGGAGAATGAATTCTGATTCCAGTACCTCTCTGATACTAGAAATACATTTTAGTTTCCTGCTTTTTAAAAAGGGTTTTGTCTGGTGGCATAATGAAGAGCAAATAATAAGTTTAAAATATTTGGGAAAGTAAAAAAAATAATAGATGTAGGGGATATTTTTATTTAAATATTTGTTGATTTATTTTCAAAAAGAATTTTGAGACTAATTTAGAAAATGTCTTCTATTAAAGACAGTGTAATTTATGTATTACAACAGGATTCTGTTTTATTCTGTTTAACTAACTTTAGTGGCTTTAGTTAGAGACTTGAAGTGGTAAATAATGTGGACATTTGATTACATAAAGAATTTGCCTATGGAAGATGGGATATGGATAGACTAGGGAAGGATGGTGAAAGGAAATGTCATGTGTGAGTAGAACTGTAGAGATCCAGCAAAGGTGGCCCACATAGTGATTATTTTACACATAGTGTAAAAGTGTGATTTTACAGCTTACCCCTATACTTACATCCATACCATGGCAAAGTATTAAACCCAGTATTTTGTTTTAATAGTTTTAGAATATCATGTAACAATTAGCTAGGAATTATCTAAACTTTTTAATAATGTTTGGATTACATGTTTTGCCTATAGCATATATGCTACCTTCGTATAACCTCTGCTCCCTTCAATGTACAGACATTGTTTCTATAGCCTCTACTCCCCTACAATGTATAAACATTGTTTCTAAGTCACACAATTGGCTATATTTAAAGTCTTTTAAATGTTGAGAATAAGATCAATACAGAAAAGTGCATGGGGTGCCTGGGTGGCTCAGTCAGTTAAGCATCCAACTTCGGCTCAGGTCATGATCTCACGGTTCGTGGGTTCGAGCCCTGCGTCGGGCTCTGCGCTGACAGCTAGCTCAGAGCCTGGAGCCTGTTTCAGATTCTGTGTCTCCCTCTCTCTCTGACCCTCCCCTGTTCATGCTGTCTCTCTCTCTCTCAGAAATAAATAAAACATAAAAAAAGAAAAAAAGTGCATACGTTATCATGAACAACTCAATACAGTTTCACATTGTACATACACTAATATAATCTGCACCCAGATCAAGAAATAGAAACTTACCAGAATCCTAGAATCTTTGTGTCTCCTACTACTTACTACTTCTTCACCTCAAAGGTAACCATTATCCTGGTTATCACAGAGGTTAGTGTTTTGCTTCTTTTTGAACTTTACATAAGTGGGATCATATAGTATGTTATCTCTTGAGTTTGGCCTCTTTTTGCTCAATGTTATGTTTGTGAGACCTCATCATATAGTAGTCCATTCATTTCCTTGATGAATAGATTATAATTTATTTATTCATGTTACATAGATGGACAACTGAGTTTTTTCAGTTTTTGGGCTTAATGAACATTGTTGCTGTGTACATATTTGTGCATATTTGGTGCATGATTGTAGATATTCCTGCTGGGTTACACTTAGGATGAAATTGCTGGGTCATAAGGCATATACTCAGCTTTAATAGATTTTACCAAAGTTTTCCAAAGTGGATTTTCTAATTGGCACTTTTATCAGTAATGTATAAGAATTCCAGTTGCTCTACATTCTTATTAACTTGGAGTTAGTGTCAGTGATTTTTATTGAAGTATATGTAGTGTTTTTTCATTGTAGTTTTAATTTGTATTTCTCTGATGAGTTTTTGTGGGCTCTAGATAATGAGTTTTTATTAGTTGTGGATATGAAAAGCATCTTATCTCTCTTCATTATATCAGCATTTTTGATATTCAGAAGTAATTTTGATAAATTCCAATAAATTATTCCGTACCTTTATGGATAGAATTTTTTCTGTTCTATTAAAAAATTTTGTCTACTGCAAGTCAAGAAGATATTCTTATATGTAGTTATCTATAGGCTTTATTGTTTTACCATTAGGAATGGTGTGAGCTGGGGTCAAGATTCTTTTTTTTTCTTTTTTTCATATGGGAATTCAATTGATCCAGTATTATATAGATGTATATGGAAGTTTAATTGTTTCAGTATAGTTATTTATAAAATTACTCTTTCCCAAATGAATTACTTTTGCACCTTTGTTGAAAATCAGTTGAGCATATCTATGTGAATCTACTTAGGAACTCTGCCCTGTTTCATTGATTTGTGTATCTATCCTTACACCAATAACACATTGTCTTGATTACTGTACCTCAGAGTAAATATTAAAATAAAAATTATCTTGATTTTGTAATTCTAGTGGAAATATAAAGAGACATTCAACTTCATTAGTGATCAGAGATATGCAAATGAGGTCCCATTTTATACAATTCAATTGGCAGAAATTAAAAAGTCTGATTAAAAAGACTTTGAAGTAACAGAACCATTTATTACTTGTAAAATTGGGACAAA